TTGAAACTCATGCCAGGTGCGTGTGCGTGCATGCACAAAATCCTGAGGGGAGAATGGAGGAGAAGGGATTGTGGCCTGGGCATTACCCCAAGGAGTGATTTATCACTTTTTATCTCTCCATCTCTCTAGCAAGTGTACATGCCCCATAGCAAAAATCTCTCTGAAAAAAAAATAGAAAAGAAAATGTCAGTCACCCTATCCAATAGTCTTTGAGTTAAGATGACCTATTTCTGTCTTGGAGGGACCTTGAAACTGTAATAAGGGGGCCAGTAGATAGCATTAAGACCCTGGATCACATGGCTAACTCTCCAGTTCAAATCCCAGACTAGGCAGCTTGAAAATCACAATGGCATGTGTGTATATATGTCCAACATCCTGAGAGAAGAAATAAAAAAGGAATTGCAGCATAGCCATCCCTCCTGGGGGGGATTTCTCACTGTCCCTACCCCATGCCACCCTACTCTTGTCTCTCTCTCTCTCTGGCAAACGCATGTGCCTTATATCAAAAAACTTTAAAAAAAATACTAATAAGGAAAAATTATAGGCAGATTCAGCAAGAAGGATATTATCTTATTTGTTAGGACATTGAGGTTAGAAGAAGATGAACATATTAATACAAACATTTGGAAATTAAAGAGAACCGATGGTCAATCCCTTTATCTCCATTTTGAAAATGAAAATGCTCAAGTCAAAGGGGTTATGGAAGACTTAGTAGCTGGCTTGCTTTAGCTTTTAAATTAGAGCTCCATGGGAACAGCACTACCTGTCTTGAAGCGTTAAACATAGCGGTGCTGACAGCCACTTCTCAGTCCTCATTCCTGTCATTCCCGTGGTGTCACTGTTCTGCCAATGTCATGTGGGAAACAAAGGATTGGTGTGCATCACGATCATTTGCTCCCAGGGAACATGGTGTATCATGAAGCTGGGTTGTAAGCCCCTGAAAAGCAACAATTTTATGTTTCCTTGTATCTTTCTCAGTAACAAGTAGTGCATTTCCCATAAATGTAATACTTAAATATTTATAATCCAATATGTTTTAGTTGTGAAGAAATTTTTGAAATATATTTTTATTAGTGGTAGGACTAGCTTAGGGGTAGGTACACACACTTTGGAGATAAACTGTCTGAACTCGAATCTGACTCAGCCACGTACAAACTGTGACCTTGGGCCAGTGACCTAACTTCTCTGTGCCTTAGTTTCCTTGGTTATAAAGTGGAATAGTAATTGTTTCTATCTCATGGCATGAATGTGAGGATTAAATAAGTTTATATATGCAAAGAACATAGAATAGTGCCTGGCACAGAAAAAGTTCTTCGTGAGTAGTGTCTATTACTAGTCAGTATGTAGAAAAGGTCATCTTTAATGGTGGCTGAGAAATGTTCCAGAACAGGCATGACTATCATGATGTTAACGAATTCCAGTAAGTTAGAATGATTGTAGGGGCCGTCAATTCTTACAGCTCTGTACATTTTTGTTGTTGTTCAGAGCTATATTTATATAGCTCTTAACCCCTCTCTATTGTTGTTTTTACATGGTAACATCCAGGTTTTATGAACAAATAGATTTTTCTATTCTGATTGCTATTGACTGCAGCCACAACCCAGTCTGTCCACTGTTTTCTTTATAAATAATTGTGGAGGAGAACTACTGGCTTTCTTCCCTTTATACCCGCCCATAGACATAGGCATAAATCAGCCTTCCTTTCCTGCCCCTTCTTTAGTGGGACCGTATATGTGTTCTTCCACATGGACCACCAGCCCTCCCTCAGGTTGATCCTCACATCTTAGTCACTGTTTCCTTGAGACTTGGTGCTTTTCTTTTTCTTATGCTTTAGAGTCCAGCTGAAGGGGCCACTTAACTTGAATAAGAGAAAGTCAACTTTTTATATTCCTATTCATCCAACTATAATTTTGATTCATATGTTCTTTGCCCTTGAGGTGTTATTGTATGGCTGATCTCTGACTGAGATGAGGAGGTATCCTCATTCTGACTTTTATTTCCACAGTATGTTCCTCCAGATCTCTGCGTCTGCAGTTTTGTGCTGGAACAGTCCCTCTCTGTCAGAGCCCTGCAGGAAATGCTTGCCAACACGGATGAAAATGGCGGCGAAGGGGTGAGTACCTGGACTATTTCCTCACATGGGTTTGAGACATGCCACAGCCCAAAAGCACACTCTCTATTCATCCCTCTAGGTTTGAACTGAAAAACCTTAGGACCCTTAAGATGATCCATATAGAGATAGCAAATTCTTTTTCCCTCAGTTGAGTTATTACTCAGTAATCCTAATCCTGCTTCTATTAAATCAGCCGGTTTCCACCAGAAAATACTGGATTGTCAGAAAGTCATTACATATATTTTGTTTTTCTATGCATCATGACTTTTCCAACAACCCAATAGAGGAACCAGAACATATGCTGTCCAAGCGTGGCATAGGACACTGAGCCTACTCCCCTTTCCTACCCCAGAGTCCACCAGGGAATGTGGACAGGCTAAAAGAGCCTTTGAAGATACCTATTAGGCAAGCTCTTTATTCTTGAAAAATCTTGCTATAGATTTATCACTACCCTCCAATAAAAGCATAATTAAGTTACAAGAATCCATACAGGAGTTCCTGGAGAATTCAGAGTATTTTTGGTATCCAGAATGCAGTGGTTTCACTGGTGGTGAGCAAACACAGAGCTGTCTTGCATTTCTATTGGCAGTAAAAGAGTCTCCAAGTGTTTCACTGAGGGACAAGGCTCTACATTTCCAGTGTCAGGTCTCCTCAGCAAGACATTGATCAAACATTTCAGAATAATTTTTGACTTTTCATTTCCCCGATGACTCACTTTTTAAAAATATCTATTTAGCATCTAACACTTTAGTTCTGCTGCCTCGATATCTCATATCCAACTCTTCTCCCTCCACCTCACCCCTTGCACCTTCTTAGATGATTATCCTTTAGCTTCTCAGTTATAGCAACAGCCAGTTAACTGCTTTGATTCCTTCTGTTCTTACCTCACTCCCATTTTTTTTCACTCAGCAGTCATCATGTTTTAAAATGTGAATCCAGTCAGTATACTTTGTTTTCAAATCCTTTATGTTCCCATTAACTTGAAATAAATTTCAAATTTCTTATAATAGGATATGAAGCCCTCAAGGTTTGTTAAGCCCTGTTCACCTTTACTGCTCCATCTCCCACCATACCCACCAAGCACTCAATGTCCCAGCTTCACAGAGTTCCCTTCACTCCCGCAAACATGCCCGTCCTCTTTTACCACTAATCCTGCATGTCAGCTATTTCCTCCAGATCCAACTGCCTTCCTCTCCCTCCTCTCTCTCTTCCCTTACATAATCCCTGCTTATCCTTCAAGGCACCAGTTTAGATATTAGATCAGCTGAGAAGCCTCTAGTAACCCCACAACGTTGCTTGGGCAACATTGGGTACCTTTTCTATTACAGTTCTTATCATCCTGTACTAATTTTTTTTTCCCTGTACTAAATTTGCAACTCTTAGTTTCTTTCTCCTGTTCTGAAGAGTACACTGCCTGTGGGTAGGAACTATTTGCAGTTTCCTAGTAGTACCATATACTCTTATTTGATTTGAATGACAATACAGAGTGTCTAATTTGTGGTAGAAGTTTCCAGGGTCAATGTTTACACACTGGTCATCCTCCAGCTGTTAATGTGATCACGGGCACAGCTTCTAACCTCTGGGTGGGGGTGGGGGGTGTGGGTCCATGTTCTCTCCTATAAAATTAGAATAGTTAGATCCCTATTGTCCTTAACACCAAATGTTTGTGGTTCTTCAACTTTTTGGTTTAGAACAATATGCTTTAGTAAGCCCTGAGGGTAGCTTTGCTTTGTACCATAAAGCATTAACACAGGTGAGATTTTTGTTTAATGTTGACCCCAGTCTGGGTTCACTTCTCCATTCCTCACAATGACCTGAACACCTCCACATTTCCAGTTTAGTGGGAAAAAAAAATTATTTGTTCATCCTTCTAGGATTCTTCTTATATAGAAATCCTTGATGAGACCCGATTGATTTGAAATAGCACCACTTTCAGTGTCTAACAATATCCACGGTGTGTCTAACAGTGCCTGGAGAATGATCCCTTGGGCATTTTCTTAACCTGGTTTGCTCAAAAAGTTTATTCTAGAAGACTTCTTTTTCTTTATTATTTAGGATGAATAGTTCAGGGTGTGCTGCGGACTAAAAAATAAATCCAAAATTTCTGGTTCTCCTTTGTTGCCAAGAACTTAAAAAATAATCTTTACTTCACTCTTTTTAAAGAGAAATAAATAAATAATTCATTTTCCACATAGACTGAGAAGACCAATTTAATGAAATAGGCCCTTTAGTTTTGAAAAGCATCCATAAGACCTACTTAAATACCAACTATGTTACCGTACAAGTTTATTTAATATAGTTATATATTTTAGAAGTCATCTATACTTTATAGTATTTAAAAATCGATACATTAAATTTTATCGAGGAGAGTGCTCTTTGAAAACTTAAATGCAAAATAAATTACCCATGACATGTTATTATCAAATATTCATTGGATAATAATAATTACCATGTTGGAGCAGACACTGAAATTACCCATGTTATATTGCTTTCTTGCACTATTTTACCAAAAAGAGATCTAAGAGTTATTTCCCTTCTTGAGTATTTATTGCTATCACTATTATTATTCACTATAGGTCTTAGAAATGAAAGGGACCTGAAAAGGGAGATTGCACACAGATGGGGAAGATACTGTTTTTAAAGTATTATTTTACTGTCCATTGACAACTCCATTAAATAGCTACCTGGACAGCTGCTTAAGTCTCTAGAAGCCTCTTAAAACTCTCTCTCACTTTCATCTGGGTTCTCTATCTGTAATATGAGAAATGCTGTTTTTATATAATCATTTGAATCTGTTTTGCTTTTCTAAAGTGATTACTCTACACATTTACTATTACTACTTAATTTGATTTTAGAAGATAATATTCAGCAGGAAAAAAAAGGGGAAAAAGAGTAAAAATAAAGAAGGAAGTGCATTAACATGACAGACTAGAGTGATTCTCTGGAGAGCCTGGGGATGTTTGAGTGGGATGATATCTTCTTGCATACGGTTCCATTCTGTTTGGAAATAGCCATTTACTGCTTTTAAATAGATATTACTTTCACTAATGACTGAACTGCCACCAAATGGGATGCTTTGAAGAGTGTAATTTTTCCTCCTAGTCATAAATTTGCTCTTACATGGTATGTCTGTTCACTGCTGTGTAGCAACTGCACATATTTTTTTAAAATGACTTCAATTTGTTCATTCACATGATGACTGTACAGAAGTCTTTTTGCAAGGATTTACAGTTCTGTAGCAATTTCTTTGGCTAACAAAGAAAACAAAAGTACCCATCAGATTTTCTATTATTGAAATGTCTGTAGCTATATACATTTTATTATTGAAATGTCAGTAACACATGGGGACCACTTGAAAAGGAGAATAAATGGTGAGGAGGACTCGGGGGCAGAGAACATTCAGTGCCTCTCAGAGTCTGCCACATAGCTGACTAAACTCCTCCTTGGATCACTTCACCTCTGATCTAATCCTTTCTAATTTAGGGGCAGGGTGGGGGGGAATTACTAAAGGATAGATGTTTAGCACTGAGGACATACAAATAGTATATATCGTTTGCTAATTTTCTTTTTAACTTTTTAAATTGTGTTTCACTTTTTTTTTTAAGAGGTTTTTGTTATAGGGCACATGCGCTCTCTAGAAAGACAGAGAGAGACAGAAAAACAGAAAATGAGAAATCACCCCCCAGGGGAATGGCCACACCTCAATCCCTTCTTCATTTTCCTCTCTGGATCTTGGGCACGCATGTACACATGCCCAGCATGAGTTTAAGCCACCGGGTCCAGGATTCGAACCGTGGTTGACTACATGGGAGTTCAGCAACATAGCCATTACACTAACTGCTGGTCTCATAATTGTATTTTACTTTTAAAAGTAAAATTCTCACATAAAAATACCAAAGTATTTATACATTTTCAATTAATTGGCCCTATAGTATAAGAAATGTCCACCAGCCTTCAACAGGATGTGTGATCAAAAGACATGCCACCATCTCCCTCTAAGTCATCAACCCCTCATTCCTATAGACATAACTTTAAATTTAGGGCAAGTAGCTTTTGTGGTAAGGAATGTTCTGCCTTCAGAGTCAGGCAGACATGTTTTTCCATCCACCTTGTACTGGACCAGTGACCTCTGGGGCAAATTATTCCTCCTTTCCTTACATACTTCCCATCTTCAAAATGTAACCTATCTCCTAGATTTGGGTGAGAATTAAATGAGACCAGTGTGCACAGCTGCCTGTGGGTGTGGAAACAAGTGTCAATTCCTCTGTTCATCTCTAACCCACTTCCTTCTGTAACATAGATCCTTGAGGAACATTCAGACTGCGTCAAAGGAAGGAGAGTCCTGTGCCATATGTTAAGTCTAGGGCTACATAACTCCAGCCGTTTTTGTTGTGCACTCGCCTAATGCTTCTAGAAATGAAAGACTTTGACTCACACAATCACCAACTGTAGACCTTCTGATAAAGACTTTACAACAAAGGGAGATGAACTATTCATATCAAATGAACTAATGTTATGATTGTCAAGTTAATGTTTCCCTTTTCCATATCTTTTTTTTTTTTTTTGAGAGATTTTCACTGTAGGGCGCGTGCGCTCGCCAGACAGACAGAGAGAGACATAGAGACAGAAAGCGAGAAATCACCCCCCAGGGGGGATGGTCACGCTGCAATCCCTTCTCCTCCATTCTCCTCTCGGGATCTTGGGCACGCACGCACACGCACCCGGCATGAGTTTTTTTAAGCCACCGGGTCTGGGACACGAACCGCGGTCGACTACGTGGGAGTCCAGCGACATAGCCATTACGTAACTGCTGGTTCCCCCTTTTCCATATCTTGAACACACGAAATCAAGCTTGACTTTAGATGCTGAAATATCTGATATGCTAATACAGAGTCAACCTTCTAACCTTGATTGGGAAGTGTTACCTGGAAGATAATGCTCTGTAAGAACATTTATCACCATATCTTCATCCAAAGGCTATTCTTGTGTGATTGTCCTAT